GTTGTTCAATCGTAATCACAAATGTGACAAATATCCAAATCAAACTGTTAGCTGAGGACATCCAACAGCTACAAAAACAAATGGGAAACAGAAAGAGAGACACAGAGAAATAAAAAATAAAGTCCTTCTGGATTTCAATTTCACAATATTACCGATCAGTTTTGTATATTGAAAGTAACATTGATAGAGACTCTAGGTTGAAGGCTGGCCTGAAGGATAAAGGTTATAGGTAGTATGAAGAGGGCACATTAATGTACTGAACGATAAAAGGGAGGAAAATGTTCAAAATAGAGCGAAAAAAGCCTGGAAAACTGAAAGACTGAGATTGACAAAAGGAGGAAAAGCGAAGAGGAAAGAACTTAAAAAAGCCTTTTACAAAAAGGAAGAGCAGTGGAAGTAAAAATAGCCTTCTTACTATTTATCACTGGTATAGCTCTGTAATCCTTCTTTTCCAGCAGAGATGCTCAATGAAATGGCTACCATAACGATGGGAAAGCCTATCACGAAATTTCAAACCAAATAATGGAATCAAAATGATGCATGAGTGAATGAAATGATTCACAACAGTGTATGATAATTTCAATTGTAAAAGAAAAATACCCCATGACATGACGTGATACATGTGCATCTTGGTGTTGATGTTGTAAACTTTCACAACAAACAGGTAGAGATAAATTCCCTCCACCAGCATCCAGCAGAAAGCGGCCATTAAGAAATATTGCATTAGAACTGCTACTGTGACACAAACAGCCTGCAACAAAAACAAACAAACAAAAAAATGGGAAGAAAATAGCTGCAATTTCCTATGTCTTTTTCACGTTAGTTTCGAAATTTATGTCTGTGTTTATTCCGCGAATGGTGAGAAACCCCTCACCTTGTTCTTTGTGGCGTTTATCCCAGCCATGAAGATGATTTGTCCAGCTCCGAGGGACACAGCGAGACTTAAGCGTATTTGAGACAGAGGTTGACGAACATCTCTGATAAAATTAAAAAGATTTGTAAGGTACATGACATGACAGAAAGCAAGAGAGTTTAGTTAAACACACGAATAGTAAAGCCAAGCAAAAAAAAAAAATCAATGATTATCCGACAGATGCTCTTTATCTCCTCTTGACTGATGTAAATGTGAAGTTCAAAAAAAATAAAGAACCAGCATGGGGACGATTGAAGGGAGAAAAAACTTGGACAATTGCTGATGATGAATGCTGGCGCCCGACACATACTCTACGTAGTTAGGAAAATTTGATCTATTTTCAGCATGAACACTGCGCATGCATTGACCTGGTTTATACGAAACGTCTTGAAAGACATTTGAGAATTTACTTCCATGATTATTTGGTGACAGATCTTACGTGAGGAAAGAATACAGAATAATTGTCGAGAGCATTCCGATGATAGACAGGCTTAATCCTACGTGTGTGATGATCTCCAGAACAGTTACGTCCTTTTCGGTGAGCTGCGTCGAAAGAAAAAAGAGGGTCACAAATTGAGTGAATAAACCACACAGACCTCTATTTGAAAGAAAATCAAGAAAAAAAAGCTACCTTGTTGCTACCGCTGAGGTCAACTAAGACAGCAAAATGAGTCAAACGATTGCAGCCACAAACTGTTTCTTCAGAGTTGCTCTTAGAAAGATCCATATGACAACCCTCCTCTGAAAACCCGTCTGGACTGAAAAAAAGAAAAAAGTAGCAGGTAGACCGCGAAACATTTTTAAAAGGATTCTTAAGATGCTCGCATATCCTATCATTTGTGAAAAATAACCACAACAATAAATAAACAGCAAAAACAAAACAAAACAAAACACAGCAAGGGAACAAATCAAACAACAATAACAAACAATAAAATCTCGCACAATTCATAGGAGCTAAGCCCGTTGAACTCAGTGGCACTAGTGCAATACTAAATGGCGGCAAGGAAAAGTTATAGTCGTATGAAGAGATTTTGGCCGGTTGAATATCTTGTCTAGTGCGAGAAAACTGATAGGTCAGACTTCATCTCCGAGAATCATTACCGACATTGTAATCTGAAATTCAGGACTACCCCAATCACAAATAACCGTTTGACCAATAATTTCCAATTTAATTCTGTGTTCAAAAAGAAAATAGAGTTCCAAAGTATTTTTTATCAATGCTTATGTTTCTACCTTTTTTTGGAGCCACTCCAAAACACGCAACGTTTTTCTTCGTCAACGACCTGAAAAGAGATTTTATATGTATTTCTTTGAGCTTGACCCAAAAACAACACAGTGGAACCAAAGTATCTTTTGGGTGTTCACGCTGTTACCTTCAGGTTTCTGAACTTTAATATGGCATCTTGTCGTAATTGTTCAGGCTTGGGATCCATGGCTGCCGTTATTATTCTAGTGTTAATGTACCTGTAGAGAAATGTTGTTTTCAAAATCATCCAGGTATGGTATAGCCCAGAATCCTATCAAGCTTTGCAAACCAATGCATGACTTTAAGCTTTATAACAGAGAAATGTTTCCTTTCCTTTACATTTTTCATTATTCTACAGTGAGAACGAAGATTGAATTCTCGTTATTTTTAACGTAACCGTTCGAGAACTGTCCTAAGTGTGCTAAAATTGGACTTGGGTCACCGACACTTGTTGGCAAATTGATTTATTATAGTCGGATTAAAGACATATGAAACTAGAAATGGCAGGTACTTTTTATTAGGCTTCATCTATTTTCATTAGCTTAATTTCCAACGGCAACGCCTATATACGATTGGTTAAGTTTACGTATGGTCGTATCATAAGTGCCGCTGACATGTATCGATGACGCAGTTTGCCATACCATGTGCGTTAGTAGTTTTTTAGTCGGTTTTGAAGAAGCAATTAACTTCCGATCGTTAGATAGATGTCTGTAAATGTTCGTAGTTATTATTACATTACAAAGACGCATACGAGTTGTTGTGTTTATTTCGCCAAGGCGGTAGATGGCCCATACAGCCTATCATGCATTCTATACATGTAAAACATGAATAATTTCTCAAGTGATTAATCGTTTAAAGTCACCTTGAATTGCCAGTTTCATCCCTGATGGATTTATTTCTCACCAGTAATTCATGGAGATCCTTGTACATGCACCCAACAACCACTGACCCTAAAATGAACTACAATCGGTCAGTTTGAAATTCTCCTGGCGACCCCATAGGGGCTAGCTCAGTTAAATACTTATCCCAAATCACTGGCTTAACGCGAACAACATGCATCAAATGTTTTGTAAATATTTTTAGAAGATAAAATTCATTTTTTGATTGGTTTACTGGTGCAATAAACGACGAGTTTTTGACCGATCAGGGCACTTCTAGTTGCTAAGCTATTTTATAATTTTAAATGTTTGATAAAAATTAAGCTGATAATAAACATCAATGTAAATTCTAAAACACAGAAGAGTATCCCGTTCAATTTACTATTAATGGACCAAGTTTTTCAACGTATTTAACACATTAAAATAAGATTAAAAAAAAATCCAAAACAAAAATCTATTTTTACTATCTAGAGTTCAATATGGGTTTGACACAAACCATTTTCAGAAAAATCCTCAGAGGAAATATTAATGCTGGCTTGCCATTTTTCTTCCTTGAGAAAGAAGTCAGTAGCATTTTGGCGGTAGCCTCTTTGAATACCCATAACTGACGGAAGAAGGCGAATATCAGCTGTTAGGTGATGATTGGAATTGTGAAACTACAATAGCGTGTGAGGATTTTATTAATATTGTAATGATAATTATTGTTATTATTATTATTATTATTATCATTATCAATTATAATCATTATTTTGTAGGTACATTGGCAGTACCACACTTCGATTCCTTAAACGCGATTCTGATTCATTTGACGCAATCAAATTAATATTGTATTGTAATCATAAAGATATATAAAATATTAAGGGGATGGAATACTCAAACAGCGGAAACTGGAACAAACGTATTAACTCAGAGAATATACGTTTCCTTCAATTTAGTTTTTAACCTTCTTCTTGCAACTAATTGCATCAACCCGAGAGACAAGAGACCAACAAGTTTAATGCACTCAATACTACTCCCATAAGCCTTTCAAAACGTCACTTTTATTATTTCTTTAGGCTTGACAGCATATTGACCATCTTGTTCGTCACTTTGTCAGACCGTGATTGAAAAATTAGGAAAATATCAACATTTCTAAAGAGAGGATGTTTTTAGCTCACCCATTTTTTGGCTTGTGGTCTTCGTGGATGGCTTCGTCTGACTCAGATGGTGTTTACCATAATTTAGAGCAAACTCCTCGAAGGAGATTGCCACTTCAAAAATAAATTCTCGTATTTTTTCTTCTTCTCTGTTACTTAGTTGGCCTCTATGGGGTTCTGTGATGTTCAGTAAACGATCGGTGAAGACTTCAAATACCCGTACAGCCTCCTTTAATGACAAGATTTATAATACTCTTAATTATGTAAAATGCAGTTCTTGATATGTGATACGATTGTCAGCCCTGAGAAAAGCCGTAATTGTACAGTGTAAAATTATTGTCTTGTTTTTTACGCACGTTTCATATGAAAAATCAGCTGCTGATACTTCACTAGAATTTCACACCATTTGAAGAGATCATGAATGAATGGCAAGGCGATCAAACATTCCCAATATCAAGTTGTTTATCGAGATTTTCTCGAATCGTGACTGCTAAAACCACCACGAGATTCATACTGGTCACAAACAGTGACCATACATATTTTCCAGTAGTCGAAGGGAAAAGGTAGCTCTTTTTAGTGACCATCTGACCAATTGACTAACTAAATTTGCTCGTGGATATGGAGTTCCTTTTCTTGCTCTCAAGTAAGTATCGAATGTAGCACTCAAGGAGAAATAGCATTTCTATCCGTTGCCATGTATTTTTTCTCAACTTATCCGTGGTACTTTGAATTTTAGAACTTTACCATCCAATTATGTCAACATAAGGGGATATAAATCACACATCGATATCGTAAGAATTCTCAAAGGCGAAATTGCATGTAATTAGGATTAATTCCAATTCGGACTGATTAAAACCTATAGGCGAGGTAAGAGCAAATCTCATCCGAGACTTGAGGACTCCATTTTAAAAAGATTAACGGGTTATACTTCATTTTTTCCACCGCCGTTCTTTCAATAAAGGGGCGCTGCTATTCTTTAGAACAGCTATCCATATCTAACGCGCTTTATTTAGTCTTTCTCCCTTATCTGAACACTTATAAAACTTACAAATAGCTTTCGTCATATCCCTAAATATTGCAAATGCCATATCAACTATTTATTTAATCATGATCATGATAGATAAGTAATTAGTAAGTTCCTACCTTTAAAGAACTGTTTCTCCTGATGTCTATTCCATTAATTTTAGAAACAGAATCATTTGCCTGTGGCGAAGAAAGACAGTAGCAATTTCAATAAGATTCCTCTACAGGAATGAAAAGCTCTCTAAAATTTGGCCCACTCCCAACGTGTGGCCTCGTAGCTCACTTGATAGTAGCGCTCAACTGGTATCTGGAAGACATGTTAGAATCGTGTCGAATCCTGAATTGATAAACGCCATAGAGCATGAGAGTTATAGCTACAAGAATAAGAAAAATTATAATACATACCACATTCTTAATTACTTGTAAAGTCGATGACGGAGATGTCTTAGTGAGCGATGATGAAGACCACGATGGTACCGGTGAAGATGGTGATGGTGCTGCCGTTGACGATGATGATAAGGATGACGATGATGATGATAAGGATGATGATGATGTCGAGGAAGACAACAGTAATGATGATAAAGGTAATGGTGTGAGAAAGGACGGTGACGGTGTTTGCAAAGGAGCTAAATGTTGAAATAAAAGTTCATTAAAACAACGAAATTAAGAAAAAAGATTGCAGAGCCACGATAAAGCGCGAAGAATTCGAAAAGTGAGATATTTGGATATTGTATTTCTTACACAATATATCAAGTATCCAATCGGGAAAAAACGAACAAAAAACCTTTAAGAATTTAATTTGTTAATTGTACTCACTGTAAGCTTGAGAATTTTTTGTTCCCTGCACCGTTGAGCTTTGAGTTGCGAAAACTTGAATTGTTGTAGCCGTGGTAGATGTAATAAAATTTGAAGTGCTGCGTTGGCCTTTGGAAAATTTAGTGCACGGGCAGCGTTTACCCACGCCACAGTCAGTATAAAAGTTTCCTAACGACATGAAGCTATTACAGCATTGTTCATTCCCGGAGCATTGTAGCTTATTCTGAAAACTTATTGGCCAAGCTCTAGTCATGTGACATATGGCAGCGTCGCACGTCTGTGCACACTGAACAGCATAACAATGCATACTACAAACGTTTAGATGTTCTTCGCACTGCTGACTACAATTTCCCATGCTGCATTCCAGATTACATGTTTCGGCGCTGCATGTTGGAAGCCAAATAAGTGCACTACATTTCAAGTTACAACTACAACTACCACTGTTGCATGTCCTTGTGCATGGAGTTACATTGGGACCGCAAATATTATCACCTAGAACAACGCCTGAAAAATAAACTACTATTATTGATTATAGGCAGGGTAGTGTTCAAAAATTAATAGCTATTATTATATGGCTGTGTCTCACAATGACTGGGAACTACTGAATCCACGAATTTGATTGGCTGAAATCAATATTGAAAGCAGTCTAGATTTTCCCATCTAGACCAGCATCTAGACCGGTCTAGAAGAAAAAGGTACAAAGGATATAAAAAATTGGCATATAAGACACAGCCATATAATAAACATCTTATTAACCGAGCTAGGTCGGTCTGTATGGGAGAATCTTAACCTCGGTCGCTGGTACAGACCGAACGCAGTGAGGTCTGTGCTGGCGACCTCGGTCAAGATTTTCCCATACAGACCTCCCGCTTGGTTGGTAAGAACTAGAGATAAATAGACAGGTGGGTAAGATCTTGGCTAATCCACCATATGGCTTTATATCACTGTTAAACAAAAATCTTTATAGATTATTGTAGCAATGTGTGAGTATAAGTTAAAAGTACGTGTGATATTAAAACATTTACCTCGTACAAGTATTCAACTAGCGTGAAGCTCATGGATGTCACCAATTTTTAGTTTTATAGACACCTAAAACTTCAAAGCACCTTTATAACTTTCTATATAGGCAAAATTTTCTAGCCCGTATTTACTCTGTATGGTAATGTATCATTAGCACCGATGTTTTGCTTTGTTTTGTTTTAGTTTTCTTGCTTTCAAGGATATGCAGCTTTTAGTTGATTAATGCACTTGTTTGTTTATAAAGATAAATTATACTTTGTCAGTATGCCCAGAAATCATCCCCTCTTCGATCTTTACTGGTGGCCCTTCTATGATATGATGAAAGGGTAACTGCAAGTTGACATAACTACGCTATGTAGCCAAGCACTAAGGGATACGTTATCGTATTCCTGAGTGTAAAAAGTATTTCCGGATAACGGCGTTGGTTTTGTCCCCTATCATTGATTCAACAGAATGCATGGAATCAAACAATGGTATTGTAAATATTTAAGACTCAAATAAAAAGTGGAAAGGAAATAACGGAAGCCGACAAACCCTTCTAAAAAAAGACTTAAAATTCTGTTGTTAACTAGGCTAATGAGTACCGTAATTTGCGACAGGCAAGAGCTGGGAGAGCTTAGTGTCATCCATCCATTAACTTTGTTCTAGAATTTGCATATCTCTAACTTTAAAATGAGGGTAAAATTACACCATCGTCATTTACATGTTAGCGCGAGTTAAATCGGGTTTTTAGCCTATAGATCATTATACGTGAAGGTGTAGTCTGATCGTCCGGGTGAGTGTAGTCCTGAGAAGGACTGTTGTCGGTGGGAGTGACTGACGTTTCGACAACCTGTGCGGAAGTCATCATCAGAGTCAAGTGAGTGATTGTTGTCAGTAGAATGTTCTTATTCCAGTTCGTGTGAAATGATCGGTTGGTTTTGCCGTGATGTTATTGGCTGTAAGACTCAAGTGACGTAAGTCGTTCGTGATTGGTCTGTTTCGGTCTGTCGGTAAAGCTAGGTTGTTCTTTTTCGGTCGGTTGTGATGTTTATGTCGTGAATGAGTCGTTTGTATGGGGCGGGTAGTTGTTGACATCTGTTTAGGGGAGTCTGTTCTAAGTTAGTAAACCAGCTTTCCAGAGTCAGTCGTTGAAAATAGTCATTATACGTTGCTTAACTCGCTTCTCTATGTAAATACCTTGAAATGCTGTTTTTTTTTATTTTATTCCTGGCTTCCTTATAGAAGCTGATGAGGTCGGCTCTAACAAAAAGCATCCTAATCTAGAACTATTCCAAGCTCTAGCGGTCTCAGTTACGCTTTATTATTTTTTTCCAAGATTATACTGAAACCCATAGATTCTACTCCTTGGAGTATACTTGTAAGACATACTCTACGAAATTAAATCTTCTAAGAAGAATTTTGGTACTCACTCAACAGAGTTATTGATAACAGGAGTGTTCTCCACATTTTACAATAAGCCATGATCATTTTTCCATCGATGAGTGGGTCAGGTTTTTTTTTAGCAACACACTCAACCAAAGGCAAGCTTTTTACAAATTGGTATTAACTGTAAATTAGCTCAAAATTCCCTTCCTAGCGTTATAATTACGAGGCGTCCTCTACTTAGAGCTATTCTAAAAATCTGTCTTTCTTCGTGTTGTTTTGTGCCACAGTCATTCGCTTATTGCTGGCATGTTATGCGGGTAATTGACTGTCACTCAAATTATTGACGTGGGCTCTTTCCCTCCAAATTTAGTCACAACATGTATTTTACACCTGTTTTGAACTACAGCACAAATATAACATGTACGGAATAAGCAGATCAAGAAACTGTTTCATTGCAATTCTCGTAACTCTTTCAATAGGCTAGCTTGAGATAAACAATGACAAGGCGTAAAAATACTATTTTTTGCAGGTATATAGCTCTAGGCTAAGGATATTAACTAAGCGTCGACGGAAGGTATTTATTTTAATTTCAATATTAATCACTGACTAATTGGACTCTTAATCATTTAGCGAGTCAACGACGATCAGCTTTGTCTCTTTAAAGTGCTAGCGTCAAACGTGTCGCCTCGAGACAATTATAACTCAGCTTAAAAAAGGTCTGTTATAGAAGCTTTTATTTCGTCAATATTGGTACCCACTAGGTGGTGCAGAGATGTAGATGACCCCTGTTTATGCCATGCACTACATGATTCATATATTTCTTTTTTTCTTTCACTAGGTATGAAGGTTATTTATTTCCACTACATTAACGTTTCTTTTCCTTTTCCTCATTCCCGATGACGAATAGTCAATGCTATACTTTGTGGATCAGATTCACGCAGAATATGGTGGACAGCAATAATTAATTTGTTTTGTTTAAGCACGCACTTCTTATAATTCACAATACTTTCTGATTAGCTTTTTTCTTCAATATTTACGGTTTGGTAACTAATAGCATATACGAAGTGCTTCGTAATCAACCTCCTGTTTCAGACCACCCTTAGGGTTTCTCAAAATTTTCAGGAAAATACATTATGGTAAAAAAAGTAACGAAAAATTAACTTAAAATAATGAAGGAGCAGTTTGAACAATTTTGTGAAACAAAGATTGCCATCGTGAAATCAGAAAGCTCTATCACTTTTCCTATCGTTTTTTACGAGTAAAGAATGGATCAAAGCGATTTCCTTTATAAGAACCTTCGGAACACCGATATTTTTTTTTCGTCCGTGATCACATAATAAAATACCGTTTTGCATTTAGGATGCAGTACTTGGCCTTCGAGGGTAGTTTCTTTCAATTTCCTTCTCTTTTTTAACGGGGCTACCACGCGCGCTTCGCGTGGAATATGTGAACCTCTATTCGTTTGGTTGTCACGTGACTGACCGAGCGTACGTACGTACGTGCGTAAGGGAGGGGTGACTCAGGCGAGTCTTGGCAAATGTACATCTATGTTATCGCTAATATTACGAACTTGGGGGCTCCGCTTTAAGGCTTTGCTAAATCTATATATTATCTCAAACTACGCATTACTATTTTAACTATTGTATCCTTGGGAAAATTTGGAATAATGTTGAAACGCAAGCTGGTTATTAACAAAAACGTGTTTGGAACTGAACTCTTTAGCCCGCTGAAGTGTAAAATGGTCGATCATAACATGTCAACTTAAATGACTCCTAAAAGGTTTCTAGCGGCAAAAATTCCTGGTCCTTGGATTTCTTTAATAACAACTGCATATAAATCAAGGCGGTAAAATTCATAAGATTGAGATTTTTCCTCTATTACTGCGAACGGCAAACGTCAAGTTGTGACGTTTCAATTCGAAGAGAGCTCTTTTGCTGTATGTCATTTACAGCAAATTGTTCGTCTTGCTCTCAAAGCGTAACTCACATACTCTTTTTAAATTAAGCTACCGTATATAAAGGGGGAGGGGTGGGGAGGGGGTGAGGGTTGGGAGAGAGGTAAACCTCGTCTCTCCTATTTCTGCTCTAAAAGTCAAGAAATTGCACTCCCTTTTAATGATTTTTTAAGCCAGACTGATGCAAATCATTAGCAAATTTGCTGTAGCATTTGATTCGCCACAAATTTACCTTGTCAGTATCACTGAAGAAGGCTTCGTTGATTGTTATCTTTTGGAAATCTTTCCCAGGCCTCACACCAAGTGTTGTTTTGAGCTAGAAACAGCTGTTTATTGCAATTGCAAGCATTTTATACGGGAAAGTGATTGTCATGTAAACGATTGACGTCATTTGTTTCTGCGAAAATAAGACGCAGTATGCCTTTTGTAGCCGTTTAAAATTGAAATAAAACAAATAAAACTGGGAAGAAACTATTCCGTAACAGATTTTCCAACTCTTTTAATATAATAACGTGGGATACGGGGGATGTATGATGATAAAGCGAAAACGAGATTTTTTTTTCTCAATGATGTAGCCCGAGGCTAGAGGTTAAAATGCGGAAAACAGAAACTGAGTATTCACGCTGATCTAGGTATTAATTACTGACTAGTATTTTATGTTTATTTAGCAAGTTAACGGTGACTTTACTTTTTAGGGACCAAATGTTTTGGCTCGAGATCATTACGCCATTAGACTAAAATGTTTGTAACAGATCTATCTGAGATTATTTTTTCCCTTTTATGAATTCATTGATACCCGTTAAGTGTATAGACATAGCGCCCCTGATTGTTTCGTGCACAAGTATTTTCGATGATACACATAGCTTTATTTCGTTTTCGTGAATAGCGGGGATAAGAATTTAAGAAATGTTGTTTGATTAGCCGTTTTTCTTTTTTTATATATATAAAAGCTACTCGAAATTTTGGCGTCTTTCATTTGTTATTTTCATAACAATATTTTATTCCTACATTCACAACGACGAAGTCCCATTTCCATACTTTGTGGATACGAATCGTGCATATTATGGTGACAGTGATAATTTTTGATTCTAAAACACACGCCTGGTAGTTCAAAATAGTTTTCTGATTGGCCGTTTCCTTTAAAATTACGGGTTAT